AGGTTGCTCTGGCCCTCATGGACACTGGGAAAACTGGCTGGGTCTGGGTGGAGGCCTGTACTTAAACCCAGGGACTGCTTATTTGAATGAAATGCTTCACATAAGCTTGTTTGATTGAGATTTGCCTCTTTATTCTAGAAACGGGATTCAGAAAGCATGAAGGTTGCAATAATCGATGTTTTCATTATTAGCTCCATTGGCGAGTCCATTAACTGTGAGCTTTGGGTCAATGGCTGATTGTCTAAAACAAAAACACTGTGTTTATCACAGTGAGGAGATGAGTTGTTGGAGAAGGAGGGGAATAAGATGATAAGAATTAATATTGACTTAGTGTGTTACAGTTTACAAAGCAGTTGTTCACACATCACATCACTTCATCTGATCCTTGGAATAGCCCTGAGATTAAGGAGGTGGGCTTATTTTTCTTCCCATTTTACACATGAACAGCCTGAGGCTGACATGCTAAGGTCAGCCGGCTGCCACCTTGGGACTGACATCCAAGACTCCTGAGGGCAGCCTTGGTGCTTCCTGCATCCATCACACCAAGACTTCAAGGAAGGAAATGTGAGATATAGAATTCAAAGGAGCTGTTCCCACAAGTGTGATGCAGTGGAAAAGGCAGAGTTTGAGGTCAAGGAGATTTGGCTTTAAATCCTGGCACCACCCCTTCCCATCTATGTGACTTTGCATAGTTCTCTTTTCCTTACCCATGCTCAGGTGCTAAGTCATGCTCAGCACTTTTGTGACCCCATGGACTGCAACCCACTGGGCTTCTCAGTCCATGGGATTTTCCAGGCAAGAGTGCTGGAGTGGGTTGCCATTTCCTTCTCCAGGGGATCTTCCTGACCCAGGGATCGAACCCAGGTCTCCTGCATTGCAGGCAGACACTTCACCCTCTGAGCCACCAGGGAAGGCCAATATACTATATTAGACAGTGCTACAGAGAAAAATGAAGCAAAGATGGGGGATGGTGAGGGCTGGGGCAGGAAGTTTTGATGTTAAATATGGAGATCAGGAAAGATTGCACTGAGATTCAGGAAATCAGGAAAGATTGCCAGGAATGATGGGGCAAGGGGGCAAGCCTTCCAGATAATTAAAATCTGGGACCTATAAGGACCTGGAGATATCCATGGAAGTGCAGAAGCAAGCTTCCTGGAGGAAGTGGGGCATGCAATGATTCTCAAATATCAGGTAGTTACACACAGGAAGACTTCAGGAGAGGAAAGAGCAGTGCAGGTAGAAGGCACAGCCTGAGCAAAGAGGCGAGAAACAGCATGATTTATGGGGACAGGAAGGCCAGACCACAGAGGGCGACAAACGTCCTATTCAGGACCTGGAATTTTTCCTGTAGGTGATGCCAGTGATGTCCACGTAAAGGAGACTGTGAAGGGTTTTAGGCAGAGAAAAGACATAATCATATCTGCATATTTGCACATCAATGCAGCCTGGAAGATGAATTTAAGAGAGATCAGAGTTGGATGCAGAGAGACCAGTTGTGGACCATTCTAGTAGACCAGGTCAGAGATGCTGAGGGCTTGGATTAAACAAGGGCAGTGAGAGTTTGATGGAGAAAGGGAGATAAAGTCAAGCATCATTTGTGGGGAAAAATGCACAATATGCAGTAACACAGTAGCTGTGGAGTCTAGGGCAGGGCAGAGGAAGAGCCAAAAATGATCACGCTTCTGGCCTGGAAGATGGGATGAGCAGCAGACCAATGCCTGCAGCAGAGACAGGGTGAAAGGACCAAGTTTATGGTGAAGGTCGCCCAGTCGTGTCCAACTCTTTGTGACCCCCATCGACTGTACTGTCCATGGAATTCTCCAAGCTGGAATACTGGAGTGGGCAGCCTATCCCTTCTCCAGCAGATCTTCCCAACCCAGGAATTGAACAGGGGTCTCCTGCATTGCAGGCAGATGTTTTACCAACTGAGCTATCAGGGAAGCCCAAATTTATGGTGGGTGTGGCGGATTTAGTTTGGGTCATGTGGAATTTGAAGTGATCTGGCATCTCATTCAAAGTAGTTGTAATAGTCATAGAATGATTCCAGTGGTGCTATTCTTGGAACTTATCAGGGATCTCTTTGAAAACTATTTTAAAAACTGCATTAACCAGTTATGCATTTTATAGGCATAACCCTTTTTGTAAAAACCACTACCTTGGAGTGCACATTAATAGCTATTTTTCATAAAAGAAATAAAAATGATATGATACTTTTCAGAAAGAAACTTACTCCCAACCACTAGGCTTAAGTCACAATGAGTTTTGGCTGCTTCCAAAATCACTCTTCCTTAACCGTTGTAGTCCTAGGGTATCTGGGGCTGTGAAAGAGACCATGCCTCAGACCTGAGGGGCTCCCATAGAGCAGTGGGCAAAGTCACAGCAATGGGTGGAATGAACAAGTGTGTAACCTCCCAAGGTCACCACATTCACTGGCTACACTTTCCAGATGCCTTTGTTTTGATGTGATGATTGTTGTTCAGTTGCTAAGTCATGTCTGACTCTTTGTGACCCCATGGACTGCAGCACTCCAGGCTTCCCTGTCTTTCACTGTCTCCTGGAATTTGCTCAAGTTCGTGTCCATTGTGATGATTAAGAAGCCTGTTTCATTTCTCTGATCCAGAGAATCTTTCAAGATAAGGGTATCTTCCTTCTCTTTCAAGACGGGCACAAGAGTGCAACTTTATTTTTATTATCTCTGTTTTCAGAAAATCTGGGACCAAACTAAGCTTTGGGCCCAAGTCTCTGCTCACATAATTCTGTGTAGGAAAATAGAGGCAAAGTATGAACTGTAAATACTCTATAGAAAAAAATAATTGAATGGCAAGATATTCAGCCCAGAAAAGGACAGTGTTATAACAAGCCAAATTCCCTAAACAACACGCCACAGTTGGCCCAGTGTTTAGGACAGGAGAGCGAGTACAGTTTTACACTGTTGAGAATACTTGTCCTCCAGTCCCACGGAGGAACCACAGGCCACCAGAGCCTGGTCATTGTAACCAAAGTGAAGAAGCGGGTTGGAGCTGCACAGAAAATGAGTGCCTTGTGACTGAGTAATTGTAGCAGCCCTTTGACTTGGGACACAAAGCTACCTCCAGTGTGGTTGTTTCATCCACCCAGCAAGCAGTTTGGTTCTCACTTGACCTGACTCTTGTATGATTATATCCCACTCAAACAACGCTTATTCCCTTTTGGACAGTAAGAAGCAGCTATAGAATTACCTGGCTACTCCTTGGTCCAGCTACAGCTAGCACAAGTAACAAAATGGTAACAAAATCTCCAACTTTCTGCATCAAGTCAATTCATATTACTTAGTTTCTGCTAACCATTATACACTGCAGTTATTGCCAGCAGTTATTAAGGGCATGGAGGCAAGAGAATAGGTTCTTGAAGCGGTGGGCTCACCTCCCCTCCAGGCAATCCAGCTTTCCCTTCCCTTCAGGCTGGGTCTGACTAGCATAGCGAATGCTGGGGCGGGGGGCAGGGCGGGGGCGGCAGCAGGAGGCAGCAGTTAGTGTCCTTGTATGAAAGATTCTGAGACAGTTCAGTATTAACCTGGCGGTGCAGCTCCCTTTCAGGCCATTGGTATAAAGTCCTGCAGGTTCTTCTGTCACTTCATAAGAGGAAGAGCTTTGTATCGAACAAAACCACCTCTTCACTGATGAGTGGTGCAGTCTCCTTTCTTTCCTTAATTATTAAATTCTTATACATTACTGAAAGTTATTCTTGGTCCCAGGAAAGGATATATGGAGGTTGCATAGACAGACTCTGCTGACTAAATATCTGCCCCCCAGTGGGGTCCAGTCCAGCTTCCTGTGGCTGCTCTGGGAGCTGCTAGATCATTGGATAACCTGAATCCCCTCCACTCTGGCTTCTTCCAGCATCATGGAACGACACTTCAGAAGGCATTGTTGCTTAGTGGTCAAAATCATAGACTTTGGAGTCAGACAACTCCCAGCTTCACACCTTACAACCTGTAGAACTTTGTTCATGTGCCTTAAAATTTTTGTGTCCGCCTTCTCAAGTATAAATGGGAATAAAGATATATTTATCTTGTGGGATATTCTGAGCATTAACTGAGATAACATAAAAAACTCAGCATAGAGGTTGGAATAGAGGAAGCACTCAATCAGTATCAGTTATGATGATGATAATGATGGAGAATGTTCCATAGCATTGGGGGAGAAACATGGGCTAAGAATATGGGCATATCTTCTCCTCCTTCCTTCTGTTCAAAGTTAAAGCAGCCAGGAGGAGTACCAATGTGCCCAGAATGGTGTGATTGCTAAGCTAAGCAGTTAGACTTCCAGGCTGGACTCAGAGGTGGTGGGAGAAGAGCAAGCAGACTATGGATGCCAGTCTGTGGCTCAGCTTGCTCACGGAGGTGCCTTCCCAGAGCTGACCATTATCTCCTGTTACGAGTTTCTGTGTGCAGGTTTCCTAAACACTGGATTGGCCAATGACTAGAATGTAAACATTTTTCTCTGTTGAGTAGAAATTATACTACTGTGATTTCATATGAAATCAGCATAACCTTTAACCTTAACTCTCTTTGCCCTCCTTTCCACCTGAAACTTCCTTACAAGTATGTCAAATTTCAACCACCATCTTTTCTTAACAAGCAAACCTTACATAAGCTCATACTCCCTGAGAAAGTATTTTTATTCAGTTGAATACCTCTAGATAGTTCATTACAGTTATACTATTGCAGCTAGTTGGTGCCTTTGTGGATCTCACCAATGCTTCTTTGAGATTTTTGCTCTCTGTTGAACTACTTATGGCTTAATTTAATTTGTATTGGTGTTGCATTTTATTTCTGTTCTGTTTTGATTTGTTCTCATTTAATCCTGAAGCCAGGACAGCATAGAAATTTTTTACCTGAACTCCCCCTCTAAACTTCCTATTTTGCCCAAGTTGACTGTTAGTAAGTGGTGGGCAGCTCTCCAGCTTTTAAAAAATTCATTCAGCCTCTTCTTTTCTGTGCGTCTCTTCTGCTTTGCCAGGTCAAGCTGGGAACTGCCTGACCTGAGGGAAGGGAGAGTAAAAGCGATCAGTGACTCAGATGGGGTGAGCTACCCTTGGTACGGGAACACCACAGAAACTGTGACCCTGGTTGGCCCCACCAACAAGATCTCCAGGTTCTCCGTCAGCATGAATGACAATTTCTACCCCAGTGTGACGTGGGCAGTGCCAGTGAGTGACAGCAATGTGCCGCTGCTCACAAGGATCAAGAGGGACCAAAGTTTCACCACCTGGCTGGTGGCCATGAACACGACGACGAAAGAGAAGATCATTCTGCAGACCATCAAGTGGAGGATGAGGGTGGACATTGAGGTGGACCCGCTCCAACTTTTGGGGCAACGGGCCCGGCTGGTGGGCAGGACTCAGCAGGAGCAGCCCCGGATCCTGAGCCGGATGGAGCCCATACCCCCCAATGCACTAGTGAAGCCCAATGCCAACGATGCCCAGGTCCTCATGTGGAGGCCCAAGCGGGGGCCACCTCTAGTTGTGATCCCTCCTAAGTAGAAGCAGACTGGCCTGACTGTGTGCGGAGCATATGCCACTGAGACACGCAGTGAGGTTGCCAGGAGTGGCAGGAGCCAAACTGAGTTTCTGAGCCAAAGCAGACCTCGTGGTTTGCCAGCCTTTGCAGCCACTTGTGAAGAGTAGAGCTGCTCCTTGGGTGGTAGAACCATAATCCTTAGGAAAAAACCCCTTCTTTTTAGGAATAAAGAAAATCACTGCTCTGAGAGACTTGCTGTGATTACCATGCAAGTAGCCATATTTTGGAGCTGACCGGGATGATTATTTTATCTGAACTATTGACCATTTCTTTCCTGTGAGATGCAGGGGATGGAAACAAAATTAAACAGTGCCTGTGGCAAATGCTGCTTCCCGACCAATTAGAAGTGAAAGTGAAAACATCCACCCAGGTGTTTGTAAGACATATGTCCCATTGTCTAACTGGAGGGTGCTGGGGAATGGGGCGGAATGAAAGTGAATGGGCAATGGAAAGAGGAGGGGATAACTTTGTTACTGCAAAGTAACACCTGTGCATGTATGAGTCAATCATCAGATCATCAACACATTCACTGAAATGAAAGAAACGCTAAGAAAATAAGACATATTGGTTCCGTTCCACGGGAGAGCCTCCTAGGAACTGTCCAGGGTGCTGACGGTGGTTCTAGTCGATGATGACTCTAATGTTTCCATCTACCCACATCTTTCCAAAATCTGTTTATTTAGAGTATCCTCAACCACAGTATTTGGATAGATAGTTTCTGAATTCTGCAATAGCTGTGATATTTGGGGCCCTCACCATGTTTTTACTGAAACCCAAATTGTGGCTTTGTTTACAGCTGCTTCTTCTCTTCCCAACCAGCACTAAATTTACAAAAAAGATAATTGTTTATACGACATGAACCCATGTAGAGTTTCGAGAACATTTCAACAAGTAAGAACAGTGTTTTACTGTTACACATCCGCACATGCAGACACACGTGCCAGCATGATTGCTGGCAGACTTGCTGGCCGTATCTGCATGCATGCTTGCAGCCTTCATGCATACACGGTACATATGCTGTGTATCTCTATATGTTTATTTCAGCTCAGTTTCACAGAAGCTCAACTTTAACTGCTTGAGCATTTGTGAGAAAGTGCTTCTTCATGCTTAACTTCAGACTCTCAATGAAAAGCTGAACTACTCACAGCAAACAAACCTCTATTGGTGAGATCCAACCAATAAGGATGAGAAGCTATATTCCCTCTAGTCAGGACAATATACGTTTTTAAAGGTATCCAATCTATGCCATAAGATCACCACAAAAAACTTTTAAATCATTACAAAAGAGCTTTTCCTTTTATTCTTGATAGTGCTAATTTTGATAGATAGATAGATAGATAGATAGATAGATAGATAGATAGATCCTTGTTCAAAACCCTCCATGCAAAATAATTCTAAAACTCCCACAATACCATTGTGGATTTTATGAGTGGATATTGCCAGCATAATTTCAGAGATGAGAGAGTTAAAGTTCATGCAGTTATTATAATCCCATGGTTGGCTCCATGGACCTATCTTTTATCTGAGTTTGAAGATGGAGAAGAAAAAGCAGGAAGACTTGTTCATTACTTTTATTAAAAATTAAGTTTAGTATCATTTACTTCAGGTTACTTCAGGTCATGGGAGTAGGTGCTTATTTACATGAGAGGTTTAACAGACCCACTCCAAATTTTAACCTCACACCCTAACCACCAACTACTCTCTTATAGACTAGTTATTGATGGCAAGCTGAGTTATTTATAACACCACATTAATGACACATCAATGACTCACAGAAGACCTGGAGACATTCCATTTAGAAACAGTTCAACTGTTACATTTGGATTTCCCTGTCCTTTCCCATTTCTCCTTATTTTATGGGAGAGGTAGTCTCAGAGAGCTCCATGGTTTAAATACAAAGCTGCTTAGTTTTCCATGTTGACATCAGAAATAGGAATCTCTCCCTGTGATTGAATTAGATGTTACCCTTATGGAATTCTGGAGTGTGGATACTGATCCTGAAATCTAATCCTTATGGCCCTACTTTAAGAAAACCTGATATTTAAAAATCTAAAATTGTAACAAACAGAAGGTTAAAGAGGAAAGATTTTTTTTTTTACATTACAAAATGCTACACAAGATTTCTACCCATGAAAACATGATATGACTTACATGATTATGTTTACATATAGCATAACTTTTTCAAGGGCATATCTATACTTATAAATGCTACACACTTAGTTAGACATTTTTTCCCACTGAAAACTCACATTTTCTAGAGTTTTAAAAGAAACTACCCTGGGCAAGTTTTCTGGAAAATTAGGTATTAAAAAAAATGAGAGAAATAGATAGGAAGGTACTTATAAAAGTTAAAGGTACTATGCAAATATACATTATGATTATTGTCAGTGGGAGTGCTGTGAAACCTGTAGTTGGGTCTCTCAATTCTGAAGTCAGCCTGGCAGAATGTTCTATTGCGCTGCAGCCTATTATTTTAGAGTTAGAGTTGCTTTAGAAGGAAATAGTGCCTTTCGGTCATTACCTTTCAGCTTAGTCGGATATTGCCAAGTGAAAGGCTCTCCAACAAGAGTGAGGTCACCTCCGTCCTCCCATCAGACTTGTCTTCCCCAACAGCCCCTGTGTCTGACACCAGATGCCATCAGTTTAAAGGGGTCCGTGTGGTGCCTCGATCAGGTTTTAGTTGAGTGGTCTTACTACTATATTTGGATTCTAAACACACATACATACCACAACAGTCTCTTAGTGGCACAAGAGTTTTTAATTCCTATGTGGAAAAGAGCATTTTATTAAGTCATAGATTCCTCATAGATTCCTTTGAGATTTTTTTATTCCATAATCTCAAGGAAATTGAGGTCTCATCTATTCGGGGTCACATCATTCTCAGGGTCATAATCAGCAGCAGAGCCAAGAGAAGATCTGGGTCCCCATATCTCATATCATAGCATAGTCACACCCACCTGAGACCAATAGTTCTCCTCTTGGCTCCAGGCAAAACATGGTCACAATCCTTGAGCCATTCACCCTCTTAGCACTAGAGACAATCAAATACACCCTTTAAAGAACAGTTATGTCCAAGAAATGAATGTTCCTGATTCTCTTTTATCTATACCGTTTTGAACTCTTAATCTGGGTCTTTGCAGCATCTTACATTCCCAGCTTGTTGCTTTGGTCCACAGCACCCAAGAAGGTTGGAAGCTAGTTCTTTCTCTGTCTTCCTTTCCATGGGCCTTTTTCCAATTCCCTCTTTTCTGGAGCTAGGAATATCTCACAGGTCAAAATCATGTTCTCAGCAGTCATTCTGAGCAGTAAAATAAAAGAAGTATGATTTATGGAGTCGTTTACCAAAGGCTTCCACATGCATTTTTTTTTTGTCCCCAGACAGTCTTATGAGTATAACAATAAACTAAGATCCACAGAGGTTAAGTGGATAGGCACACAAATAGAAAATGTGAGGAATTAGGATTCAAACTGAGCCATTTGGCTCCAAATCTCTTGCTATACTATACTCTGGTGCCTCTTGAGTTGTTCCCTGCCTAGAGAGCTCAGAAGAGAAGACAGGAATGGAGAAAGCAAGTCACTTTCACCTACACAGTCATGTAGTCCCCACCCGTCAACTAAGTGGGCATAATAAAATAAGAGAAATAGCACTGCTTTTTTATGCAGAAAACTGTGTAATCCACAAGGAGATTTGCCCAGAAAAAAATCCTGCCAGGGGCTGCAGTGTGGGTGAGCTGGCTGTCACTCACCAGCTTTTAGCACAGTACTGGTAATAATTAGTGGAGTAGGAAATCTACTCTCCTGGTCCCAGAATCCCTGAAACACCAAGAGCACAAAAAGGGGAGGGAAGCAAGCATCCCACAGCTGAGGTGCCAGCTGAGCAAGGCCTTACCGCCCGCCACCCCTCAACGCAGCAGGAGCAGCCCGTGGGGCGGAGGCTTTGGGACAATGTCTTTCCAAGCTCCAGTTGGCACATTGACTATTCTTGTTAGAACCGAGGGCGCAATTAAACATTGCCAGAGCCAGCTCCCAACTGAGTTGCAAAAAAAGATGTAAACACACACACACACAGACCTGCTACACTCACACATGCTTCAAGCTGAAAAGAAAATTAATCAAAACCCCAATGAATGCCTGAACTCTATAATTAAGCCTAAACGATCCTTAGACAGAAAGGGAGTGGAGTGAGCTAGCTCAGGGCCCAGAGATATTTTTACCCCAGAGTCTTATTGCCATTAATTTCTTTTGAGATCTTGAGTACGTCTGGTTCCAGTTTCTTAGCTAGGACATCTGCCTGTGGAAGGCCTTCAGAAGAGTTGCCAGCTCAGTGAGTAGAGGACAGCCAAGGTCGTTTGGTGATCTTTAAACACTCACAAGAATGCCTCTGCAGAGACGGAGTCCTGCTGCCCACCTTGGTCAGCCGTGCTCCCTCCCATGATGGGTCGCATTGCTAATTAACCTCAGTCCTCCTAGCAATCCCTGTGAGGTCTACAGCACTTTACAGCTTACAGGCTGTTTTCTCCCTTTTACACAGAGTATGAAACATCTCTATTCAAGATAGAAATTCTTAGTGTTTGTCTAATCCTTATATTCTTATTGTTATTAACAACAATAATTCCCATCTGATTAGTTTGCTGCAGTTTGCATAGCACAGACACAAATACTTTTTGATTTGATTCTCAACAATCTTGTAAGATCTAATTTATATCCCCATTTTACAGATGAGAGACTTGAAGGTCAAGTGACCTGCCCAAGGTCACACTACTACCAATGGTGCTCTTAAGATTTGAATTTCAGTCTTCTGGCTCCTCACCTTTCCTCCAGTCTGGTGGACCATTTTCTCCACTGCTGTTCCTGAGGCAGGGCTGACTCACTTGCAGAGGAAGTCTGTGCACAGCCGCCCTGATTGATCTCTGGTGCACTTTGACCAGGCAGAGTAAGCTCTCCTGAGGAATCTGGGTTCGGTGGTCTTAGGCTCTGCGCTTTCAGGTGACTTCTTTCTTCTTCCGTATTGGAAAGGAGGGCTACTTGGGCTCTCTGAGGTCAGAGGCCAGAGCCCAGGACCTCCGAGTGACCTGAGTCTTCTAAACCCAGCTGATGAACTAGACCTTCAACAGATCATGTCATTCATCTCAGCCTGTTTCCTCCTCTGTTAACTGAGCCACTAACACAGCCAGCATCGTAGTCAGGAAGACACAGTGATGTGATGTCTGGAAACACTCCAAAATGTCTGAAGTGCTGCCTGATGTAAGGTCTTGTCGTGTCAGTAGAATCACGGGGCCCAGAATGAGTTGCAGGCCCTCAAGCCCCATCAGATTGGAAGCCCAAAACCATCTCAGGGAAACCCAATGTCCCTGCCAGGGGAGGCCTGGCCCTGTGGGGGATGGTGGGGGTCCCGAGTTCACCCTGCCCCCAGATACCTTGATGGTGAGGCCTGGACTGTGGCAGTCAAGGAAAGAAAGGAGACCTCTACATAGCCTTGTAGAAAGCAGCTCTGGGAAGAATTTATAGCTGGCATTTTAAGAGATCTTTCAGAAAGGAAAAGAGGAAAAGAGGCTGATCAGATCTGGGCCAGACTTGAAATCCCAAAATGACTTGCCTACTTAAGCTTCCTGGAGAAGCCAGCAAAGGACAGCTACATTTTTCCTATCATGGGCTCAGGCAAGAAATACAGAGGGGAAAATTATTCTTATTATTATATGTATACATATCTTTATGTGGGTCTCCACTGGCCTGTGTGGTCTGTCTCTACAATCACATGGCCATGCAAAGGAGGCTCTTCTCTGCCTCCAGCTCCTATCTGTCCTTCACTAACCCAGAAAATGTGGCCTGACCCTTAAAACAGCTGAATACTGGGTCAGAAATGCCCAAGAGAAGGGAAAATAGACGTTCAACTTACAGCAATGAAGGGAGAAGGCCAAGACGCAGAGCAGCAGCCTAGCTGCATGCAGACCTCCCTGGGGATTGTGAGGGGCTCTGATAGTGCACATGAAGCATCTGAATAGAGAGATGGCTAAGCCTGGGGACTGAACTCAGACTGCCTGAGACCCAGCATCACTGGGAGCAAGGAGGAGACAGGAGAGAGGACCGAATGCTTTGCTTCAGGCCAGACATAAACCAACCAAGGTGCCCGCCCTGGAAAATCTAAGAAGGCACTCACTCCTGTTTGTGAACACTGATTCTGCACCTGCTGAGAGGGAGGTCCCTTCAGTGTCTGCCCTGGGCATCCGGATTGCCTTACCCCAAGCCCAGCCCTGTTTCATGCCATCTTCTCTTCACAAAAAGAGCAGATATGGGAGGGTATTGTGAGGTCCCTCTGGAGACTCACTCTTAAAACAAGTATTTATAAGAGGTGTTCACTCCTCTAGGCTAAACAGTCTGCAGGTAGACAATGCTCACAGGACACTCAGGAGCTACTCACTTTCCCTTTGGAGTCACGCATCTCAGCGAACCCAGGGAGCTTGGCAAGAGGTCCCTTTGTCTGTCTGTCTGGCCCAAGAGACCGGTGAGGATGGTTAAGGCAACAGGCAGCACTCTGTCAAGCTATTTGAGCTCTTCCAAGGAAAGGCATTGGGGAAAACCTACAGCTGCACCAGTACATACATGGCCCTGGTAATGAGGGGAACAGCTGGTCATCTCTCCATCTGCTCTCATTCCCTCACCCCCACCTCAAACCAACTAGAATATTCCACACAGACATGATCCAATGAAATATTAATTGGAAAAATAACAGGAAAGATAATACATGCACTTCAGGCTGAGAACTATTTCATTAAACTGGGCTTTGAAAGCAAGATAGCCAATTAGATTATTTCCCACTTCACTCCCTCACATACCAGAAACTATAGAAAGCTATTATTACTAATTAATTAGGAAATAAAGAAGGACTTTGTGTATGCATATCCAATGAACAGGGACAAAGGCACTATCCTACCTACCTCTTCATGCACAGCACTTATGCACGCACACAGTGTACATACATGCACACACACACACACACACACACACACACACACATCAGGGACTAAAGACTCACTATCTCACCTGAAGAAACAACAAGAAAATACCATATCCAAAAAGCCATTCACAATAGCCAAGAGAAATGCTATCTTTGGGCATGTTTATCAGAAAGGAAATGGGCCATTTCTTACGAGAGAATAAGCAACTCTAAACTCAGTTGGATTCCAAACTTCCTGCAGCCAGAACAATCTTGTCTTTTCCTCTTCAGTAGAGAAAGAGTCATTTACCAAGCCTATTTCAAGTGCTCAGGAGGTTTTGTGGATGCGGAAACCTGAGAATCCCTAAGACCTGATATTGGATTGACTTTATTAGGCAAGACTTCTCATGCAGATCACCTGCACTTTTCCATCCGTGAAATGGGAAGAAAACCTGTCCTCAGTGCCACAGATACTCCCTTAAAGTTTTTGGGTTTGTGGGAGCACATTGACGGATAACCCTAAGCTTCCTGTGCCTTGCCTTGGGGAAAATTGACAGCTGAAACTCAACTATGTAGTTGAAAAAAATTTTTGTGCAAAAATTATGCTAATCTAAAGGCATCCTTATTGTATAACTAATATAATAGGAATATGATAATAAATATAATAGTCATATAGAGTGATCATCACAATGATGTGACTTTTGCACACAGTTATCTCTCCACTGTGGTCCATGAACAGTAGACAGATTCCGAGGTTGTCTCCAAGCCTCTGCACACCTGTATCCTCTCAGTACCCGACTCTTTCCCATCACCCACCATATGTGCCACTCTGTGGCATGCGTGACATCAAAGGCTGGCAGAGCCCCGCACATCAGTCTCTCACTGCAGGAAGGGGAACTGGCATTCGTTGACACTAGAGCATGGCAGTTATTCCAGAGCACAGGATGAAGGGAGGGACAGTTTCCAGAATGGCTACTGGGCTATTAAGTCCCAATTTGTATATATACTGNGGAACTGGCATTCGTTGACACTAGAGCATGGCAGTTATTCCAGAGCACAGGATGAAGGGAGGGACAGTTTCCAGAATGGCTACTGGGCTATTAAGTCCCAATTTGTATATATACTGGGGTTGTCGGCAAACTTCAAACAATTGGAACAGGTTTATTTCACCATCTCTATACGAATTTAAGATTTTTTTTCTTTCTGAAACTGAAACCATGCCTAAAATCTGAATGCAACAGTGTTCATTTGGAATCACAATAACTCATTGTGCCATTATAGTAGTACATTGCTATAACCAACCCCACATATCAACAATCCAATGATACAAAGCATAAACAAATGATCAGGAAAGCAAGAGGAGGATGTCCAATGCTTGGATTTACCTCAAAGCAACTCCTTTCATGCATTCAAAAATACCCTTTTTATTTTAAATATTCAGTTCACTTCTTGTTTAGGACCACAACTTACCACATACATGCAAGTACTCCACAAACATAGTCTTTAAAAAAAAAGAAAAATTGATCAACAACTTCAAGTTGAGTAATATAGATGCACATTCAAAATGTTTTAGCACAGCTCAAATATATGCCCATGCACAGGTATACTGGGAGAGCCGTGGAGTTCTGGTCAATCAGCAATTCTTACAAATTACCTGTGCCTTTGGATGCTGAGAACCAAAGCCATGGAGGGTCTGGAATTCCCACCCATTCTGTAGACCCTTTTGTCCCTTGCTAATGGGTTACACTTACAGACGATCTAGAATCTAATATTGCTTTTGTTTAAAAACCACATAAATACTATAGACTGTCTTGACAGAGCATGCATATGTAAATAAGTACTCATAATTTTGCATAAAAATCTCAGAGTCATTGTCCCCTTGCAATCTATTTATGAATCCCAGATTATAAACATCTGCTTTTAAGGAATGACATTCTTTGACCACTGTCTTAATGCCCATTCTATTTACATGTTTCCATGTCCGCATACAGGTCACCTAGTAGAACAAGGCACGCCCAGGAGCAGAACCACATGGCAGAGACTAAAGAGGAGGAAGTGAGCAATGGCTGCTGGCTCGAGAAGCTGAAGCCCTGGAGAGCTGACTGCCCATTAAAATGGGCGCCATCCTGCCTGTCTCCTCACCATCCTCCCATTCCCTCACCCCATGACCTGTCCCCCTTCCCACCCCCAACACACACAGCACTCTCCACAGGCTGGCTGGTTGGCTCCTGCGGAGCTGTGTTGAAGTGGGAGTTGTGCCGGCTGCATCTTTTTGTGTGGAACGGTTGGGTCCATCCAGACCTCAAGTCCATTCCCACAGCTCTAAGTGAAGCTGGGATGAAGTGCTGGTCAATTGGGACTTCAGATACCTAAAATGTTCCAGCATTGGTTCCCAAGCCCTAACCTCCCTCCCTATACTTTTGGGTGAAAAACAGAGGGAATATATATCTCCTCTCCTTCTCCCTCTTCCACATGGGTGGCCAATGTTAACACTCTGTCTAGATTTCTCTGATCCTCGCAGAGCCGGGGCCAAAGCAGTCCTACTTCCTCCACACGACTGGGCTGGTTACTTTCAGGTGACCAAGGGCAAAGTGTACGTCACCAGGATCAATGGGGTGAGGAGAGAACCACTCTAAGAGAACAAAAACTGTGTGCATTTTTCTGTTTATTGCCTTGCTTACTGGTTTGTTTATTTATTTATGAAACCTGTGTTTATTATATAACAGAAAAATCTACTCCCATCTCACCCCAGAATTTGTCTTCTTGGCCCCGTACAGCACAGTGAATAGTTCCTCTCTGAAGTGACAGGAAACAGGGGGGAAATTCTCTCCCTGTGCCCAGACATCTCCACCTCAGACAGATTTTAAACCAGAGGCGGGTTGGAGACCTAGTGAGGCTGTAAAGCCAAACAAACCAATAGAGGCTTGACTGTCCAAGCAGAAGCTCTCAGAACTGTCCCCCACAGTCCCCCCTCATATCAACCCTTCTCCTCTCCTTCATGTGATGGTGGGGACTGACCAGTCAGCTCCAGCCTGGCCCTCTCAGAACTAGACTTCTCAATTGCTCTGGTGCTGTCTTCTTAACTAATGTGGCAAGTACATTTGAGACACCGAGGAGCTTACAGAAAACCCATGTCTGATCCCTGCCCCAACTCATTCCAGCAGAATCTTTGTGGGTGGGGCCTGGGACGGGTGTTTTTAAGAAGTCACCCAGATGATTCTAACGTGAGACTGGGATTGAGAAGCACTTCTAGTGTCTTCCCACCTTTGGCCCTCCCCCCGCCCACATTCTTCATCCGTGATTTCCCAAGTTTTCTCCTGTGCCAAGAATAGGAAAAGGCCTTTGAGGGGTGAAGCATTCTTGTCCCACTCCTCCCCCTGAGCCTTCCCCATTTCTGACTCTTCCCCATTAGGTCAGTCAACCTGGCAGATCCTGCCAGCTGTACCCAAGAGTGGTTCCTGCGCAGCCTGTGGGCTGATCTCAGACCTACCCTTTGCCACATTCTCTCTCCACTTGCCCCTCCCCAGGCTCCCCAACTCCACATGAACGTCTTCAGATCCCAATCCGGGTGAAAGGTCCATGCCCAGTCTTTATAAGCCACGCCTTGGCCATTTCTGCAGAGCCACCTGAAGCGAATGAAAGTCTGCTGAAAATGGAGAAAGGAGTCATGTTGCCCCAAGCCAGTCCTTTCCCCGAGAACCGGACCCATCCAAATCCCAGACAGCTCACAAGATCTCTTACTGCGGACTGTGAGGAAATGTGTGTGTGTGTGCACATGTGCACAGACTGTATACACACCACAGGGATGCATGGAGATATACCCTGTTCTTCACAGGCCCAAGTGAATTCTGCTGGGTTGGCCACAAAGCTCATTTGGGTTTTTCCATAGTATGTTACAGAAAAACCTGAATGAACTTTTTTGACCAACCCAATATATTGGGTATATACCCAGAATGTTGTAATATTTACAAACTGTTAGATATACCACACACACACACAGGAAACCTGTGGTGTGGGAGGAGTCATTTTTGCTACCCCATCCCTCCAAGGGTTACTCTCCTGCCCCTGAGAAACCTCCTGGAGCAACTATTGATACTACGTCACAGCCTCAGCTGCCCAAGCTGTCCCTCTCCTGCACCCCGTGTCACCCAGCCTTCTTCCCCAACAGTCAGAATGTGCCGGCCCCTCCATCCCATCTCTCAGGGTCCTGCTCTGGATAGGTGGCAGGCAGTTCAGTCAGTGGGTGCTGAAGACTTGAGTGTTGCCCTCTCAGGTGACACTTACGTTTTAATAGGGGCTATAGATTTTGCCTTAACCCGAAAGCGTGGCTCTCGTGGTGGGAATTTCAGGCACAGTAGTGGGCCAGTAAGGGATGTTATTTTTTATCAGAAGGGCTTTTTAGAGCCCCTAAATCATGCCTATGTCTAAAATCAAACCTTCTTCAGTGCATGAGCACAAGCAAGCACACTGAATGTATATACACTTCCCCTAACTCTGGGACACCTCCCTTATATCGGCCACATCTTAAAAAAAAAAAAAAGGAACCAGCTAAATTAATTGAAACCTCACTGGGAAATGTAGCCTATTTTTCACTGGCCGCCAGCCATCTGGCCCACCCCACCCTGTCCCACTTCCCTTCTGCTCCTTCTCTTTTCTGCTCCCACCGTGTCAGTTCATCGATTTGTACATCTTCTCCGTGTTCTTCTGACCCACCTCACCACATGTATTTCCTTCCTTTCCTGTCTCCCAATTGGAATTGTGCTGTTTTCTGTGTCGTCAGGACAAAGAGCAGGTTCGAAGCATGAGCATGTGTGTGTCGCTCTGAAGAAAGAGGACCCAGGTATTCTGCTACAGTTTGGAGAAGAACCCAATGAAGGAAGAGAATGAAAGCTGGCTCTGCAGAGTGCCTTAAAAATGACTTTAATTAGGAAATTCTGAATTGTCAGTCTTTGGACATTACATAAACTCAAACAGATGTTGCATTTCACTTCTCTGGGATTAAAAAATGTTAAATACAGTATGTATTCAACAACAATGTATCTTTTCTCTGTAATTTGGTCCTTAAAGATGCAGTGCTGGGTTTTCCAAAAAGCCCAGGGAAAGCTCCAGGAATAAGACCCTGGGACATACAGAGGCAGATGCAGGAGCCCTGCTCAGCAAGGAGATCTGGCAGACTAAGGCAAGTGATGCAATCATCGTTGGTCCAGAAGGCAAGTCTCAGTTGAGAAAGAAGCTGGATGACATTGAGTAAGGAACAGAAAGGGATCCTCATCCTTCTCCCTGATGATATTCTATCCTAGTCTGTGACTCAGTGCTGTGAAATTAGGGGAAGGAGAACATTCTAGAAACACAAAGAGCAAACCTTGCTCTTCCATCCTCTCTCCACCTTCACTCTTCCCTGGAGCACTCTTTGACCAGTTTGTACTTTCCTTTTACTAAATGATTTTCCTCTAGCTTAACACTTGCTACCCAAGTTCTGACTACAACAAGATATTTGGAAGAGTCTGGGTTCCTGAAGGCAGTTAAACCTTCTGGGATATTGCCTTCTCTGTCTCAGAGTTGCATTTTCAGATGCTCAGATGGCAGCTAGGCAAGAGGGGAGGTGTAGTAGGGATGGACCTCCTAGACTCTGAAACCCAATGGAGATAAAAGGAATTGATGACCCAGCCCATCAGAATCCCAGCCCCACTCTGCCTCTCCCTACTACCTAGCCCTGAACCTGCTTTTCTGCTTTGGAAGTCAGTGCCTGGCTGGTAAGAGCTTGGAGTCATCTAGGTACCAGCTCTTCTCTCTACTGCAACTTTTATTCAAATCTGTCGTGGCTATTTTAAATAAGAGTTGTGACCATTCTGTGGGATCGGCAGTTTTAAGAGGGCTGAGTCACTAGTTCACATTCTCTCTCTCTCTCTCATCTCTCTTTAATTCTCTCTCTCTCTCTCTCTCTCTCACGCATACACACATACCACCACCACCACCACTCAAAAGAGGGAGAGCAAAAAAGGAAGCCCAGATATAAAAATAGTGGCAAATAGTGATTTCCATTCCTGGAAAAAATATTTCTCTATCATACATGTCATGAGGCGAGGGGAATGCATTTTTAAGCACATGTATTTTTAATCAAAGACACACACCCCCGCAACCTTAACAAGTCAGCCAAGCAGCACATCCTAAATTCCATGGGAAGCAGCTTTGTGGACACATTTTAGGAAAGAATTTCTGCATCTTCTCCACTAGAGAGCATGTTCTGAGGTACAGTCTCTGAGAAAGGGCAATTTGCACTTTTTTTCTATGTCATTCATTTTAAGAAATAAACAATGCACTGGCAAAGGCTGAATGCACCAAGTATGAATGTATGTATATATAGGGGTCTCTCCCACTATCCGAAAGCAGAGTATCCAATGAAGCCTTTCATTAATCAAAATGGCATAAAGCAAAGAAGTAACTACCTTAGGACACATCTTGCTAACGGATGCACCAAATGAGTTTATATAAAGCACAGATGCTCACAGACACAATTCAAAGCCAGGGAGGCTTGATGCTGAAAGTGCAGTTCCTAGGGATGGAGCTTGGCAGGGCCACTCTCACTGCTGTAGGTGACCTTCCAGAATCAGTCCTACCTTATGCTAAAGTCGCCTTCGTCACAAATTTCTATGCCTCTGCTTTATGCCCAAGTCAAGGAGCTGAGCCCTGTCCTCCCTGGGTCAGCAGTCTCATAACTCATCCGGCTCTGAGCCAGGATGGGGGCCCTTTGGAGACCCCAGCTTCTAGCCTCTAGAGGAGGAGTTGACTCTCAGTCCTTGTATCACGGAAATGCCCAGGTTCTCTTTGCAAGTTGATGTGTTTCTTCCATGCCCCCTCCCTTGAAAGCCTGCTCTTGCATAAGTGAAGGAGATCACTGGATTGATCCTCAGAGAAAAAAGATTTTTTATTTCAACAAATACTTATTAATGACCAATATGTGCCAGATGCTCTGTTCTGGAAAATTCCATGGGAAGCAGCTTTGTGGACACATTTTAGGAAAGAATTTCTGCATCTTCTCCACTAGAGAGCATGTTCTGAGGTACAGTCTCTGAGAAAGGGCAATTTGCACTTTTTTTCTATGTCATTCATTTTAAGAAATAAACAATGCGCTGGCAAAGGCTGAATGCACCAAGTATGAATGTATGTATATATAGGGGTCTCTCCCACTATCCGAAAGCATAGTATCCAATGAAGCCTTTCATTAATCAAAATGGCATAAAGCAAAGAAGTAACTACCTTAGGACACATCTTGCTAATGGATGCACCAAATGAGTTTATATAAAGCACAGATGCTCACAGACACAATTCAAAGCCAGGGAGGCTTGATGCTGAGAGTGTAGTTCCTAGGGATGGAGCTTGGCAGGGCCACTCTCACTGCTGTAGGTGACCTTCCAGAATCAGTCTTACCTTATGCTAAAGTCGCCTTCGTGACAAATTTCTATGCCTCTGCTTTATGCCCAAGTCAAGGAGCTGAGCCCTGTCCTCCCTGGGTCAGCAGTCTCATAACTCATCCGGCTCTGAGCCAGGGTGGGGGCCCCTTGGAGATCCCAGCTTCTAGCCTCTAGAGGAGGAGTTGGCTGGCTCTCAGTCCTTGTATCACAGAAATGCCCAGGTTCTCTTTGCAAGTTGATGTGTTTCTTCCATGCCCCCTCCCTTGAAAGCCTGCTCTTGCATAAGTGAAGGAGATCACTGGATTGATCCTCAGAGAAAAAAGATTTTTTATTTCAACAAATACTTATTAATGACCAATATGTGCCAGATGCTCTGTTCTGGATGCTGGACATTCCTCAGTGGACCAAACAGATTAAAATCTGTCCCTCCTGGTACTTCCATTCTAGTGGGAGGAAAGACAGACAGTAGATACAATAAATAAGGACATTGTACAGTAGTTAGATGGAAAGAAGTACTATGGGAGGGGGAAAGAATAGATAAGAGGATCGAGAGTACTAGAAGATCTGCTTCCAGGTGATTTTCTGTGTAGGCTATATACCAAGAAACAGTGTCAAAAGCACTTACTAATAACAACAACAAATAATTATGGCTTCTCTTGACATCCCATTTAATCTCTGCATTAACAGGCATCCTTTTCCACGTAAAGCTTGAGATCTACAGTTTATACATTCCAAAGCAGTCTTAGGTTTATTGTCTCCTATCTTAACCCATGAGGACTTAATTTATTGCAGCTGAGAGAGTTTAAGTGACCTTCCCAAAGTCACATAGCTACTGTCACAGTGAGAATTCCAATAAGTCTCTCTTGACTCCATTGTGTGATTTTCTCAAAGCATGTGTAAAGAGCACAAGGTATGACGCCAGAAAATCCAAAACTGAGACCCAGCATTGTGTCTTACTAGGTGTATGGAACCTTGAAAAGTTCCCTGCAAACAAAAGATAAGACTGGATTTTAAATTACATTATAAATCATAAGGCGCAGTACAAATGTGACGCCTTGGGGCAACTCTGCAGGCTGCCTCAACACTCCGTTCACCTACTATCTGTGTGATTCATTAAGTAAATAAATATAATTAAAAGGAGTTATTTTTACAGCATACTGCACACAACTCCCAAAGCAGTTCTTACTAAAGTTGGGCAAATTAAAACAGTAAATATTTTCTGTTTGTAAACTAATTATCTGATTCAAAGAGATTCAAAGCAAGCCCGCTCTGAAGGTGTTCTGTGACTGCACATGCATAATCACACTAAATGTATTGAAGAAGCACTGGTACATGGGCCTCGTTAGGAGCTCCTGCACATCAGTGCAGACAAAAACATTCCTGTGACACACCCCAGGGTGCAGTTGTGGCTGTGAGCAACTAGTTGTGTTTCTTATTCTCTTCTAGGCTTCTTCATCATTTTTCTTATCTTTGTTATCTCAGGATTGGAGAATCCCCACCAGTAAATTTTTTTTAAAAGGTGTCCAATTGGCCTGAAAGGCAGCTTGTACTGAGCCTAGTCTGGTACTATTTCCTAGTCTAAGCTAAGAAATAAGACTGAATTTTGTTTCTGGGAAAGCTTAGGAGATACAAACTATAGGAGGAGAAGTGTTATGGACTGAATGTTTGTACACTCCTCAAATTCACATGTTGAAGCCTTAATCCTCAAAGTGGTAGTATTTGGACATGGAGTCTTTGGGAGGTAATTAGGTTTGAAAGAGGTTGTACTGAACCCAGGAATCAAACCAGTGTCCCTTGCATTGTGGGCAGAGTCTTTACCCTCTGAGTTACTAGGGAAGCCTGTGTGGGAGGAGCCTCCATAATAGGTTTGGTGCCTTTAATGAAAAGATCCTAGGCATCTCCCCTGACCCCACACTGCCCTCAACAGCTACAGAGAAATTCCTAGGTATATTTTACTATTATCATTTTTAAATTTTTTAAAAATTTCTTTATTACTCCTTTAATTTTCATTTTTAAAACCTACTATTACCTTGGGGGGGGGAAGACCCTATTTTTAAAGCAAATTTCATATTTTTTTATACCTTTTGAAATTTTGTTTTATTTTTTTAATATTGAATTTTTGAGAGTATAAGCTCTACTCTAGATTTTTAATCTTTGCTTTTTGGTATTTGTTATCAATTCTGTACCTTTAAGAATCCAATTTTCAGTACCAATCTTTACTTAGGAGTGTGATTACTGGCTTGATTGCTCTCTCCCCTTTTGACTCTCCTTCTTCTC